ATGCGCCAAATATACCCACATACTCAACAAAAATTCCTTTCGAAACGGGGGGGGGGATTTTTGGCTTCTAAATTTCGAACGCAATTGGTGATGTGTAGCTGCAAGGATTTATATTGTAGGTCATTATCTAAAGACTCATCAACAATTAAGTGACCGTTTTCATCTATTAGCTATCGAGACAGGATTGGTCTTCTTTCAAAAGAAACTGGTGAGAAACCCAGAGATTTTGGGCACCTCTATCCACGAGTGGTGGCCAACAGAGCAGATGTTGGTTATAGGTCGTAAAGGACACACGGGTGAACAAAACACATTCAACAAATTTGTCAACCCAACAGAAGAATGCTGCGTGCAATGAAACGGACATAATTCTAGGTACCTACCTATACTAATTCGATAATGGGCCACTTTCACATTTTTTATTTATGTGATAAATCAATGCGGAACATAAAGAAATACCAGTATGCAAAATTTCACAATCCTAAACACACAAACTTTTAAATTATTTAAAGATAAGTTTTTCGCGCGCTTGGAAATCATTTTAAACGCTAGATTTTGCCGAGGCATGGTTGTGACGTCACAACTGTGTAAAAGTTCAGTGGCGGTATACTTCCATGTATACTTCAATGCGACGACGTAGCGTATGCGTTTGTTGTTGCTTACGTTTTCTCCTGTGTACCAAGTTTTTTCCGGCGAAATTTAAGTTGTTTAGATGTGAAAATGGTGTATCACTGGTGCATGGTGCCAATGTTAAAAGAAAGTTCACATAAAGCCACATTATCGAAGCAAATATGTTCAGTGCAACATCAAGACGCCTACAATATGTAAGAGCTGTGCCCCAATCAAACTTGATCCACTGATCCAGTCGAAAGTCCTCCTACTGCTACTCTGACACCAGCAAAACTAGCCGTGTGAAGAATAGTCTACCCCTAAAATTGTCATCTTCCGAATCGCAATCACACTCATCACAGACTTCGGAATATGACAGTCCAGCAGCTTGTACATCAGAGGACGATTTATCAAAAATTGAAACCAGCTTTAAAGAAAAGCTGTTACACAGTTACCATCGTTGAAAGACACTATTTATTTGTTTATTTGTTTGGCGAAATAACATACATAATGCAAGCATTCCAATTACATGGCGCTGGGATGCTGTACTTAACCTAGAACTACATAGAAATTAAGATCTAATCGAGGATCTAATATTACTTTCATTCAAAGAGCCGTGAAATAACGAGCGATCAAAAATGAGTTGCTGTCGAGTCGCCTTTGGAAGTTCAAGTTAAGTACGATTTCCCATGTAAACAAAAATTCCAAAGGTGACTCGACAGCAACTCATTTTTGATCGCATAGTATATCGATGTCTCTCTCACGGCACGTCTTAAGGCAGCCCTTCACGTACACACTTCGCTTCGAGCTTTGCATGACAGCATTGCACGAGTACAATTTTTACCCTTCACGTGCAGTCCTTGTTCGAAGTACGCCAAGTGTATTACGTTAAAAATCGCAGATTAATGAAGGTAATAAGTAAATAACAAGCAGCAGCAATAGGTAGTTCTTTTAGATCATAAAGAAAAAAGTAAAATAAGAAGAAAAAAGATATCGAGTAGAGTAAAGGAGTGGTAGGTATAAAAAAACGAGGTGCTGCCAATGATATTTATCTATTAATAGAAATCAATGTAAATCACTCTGAAGATTACCAAATTTACTTCCGGATACATATGCTGACATTAAATATAAATACTTAATTGTTGAAATTAAATTCGTTAAAATGCCTACAATACATTTTTCTGAAAGTGGCATTGAAAGTTTTACTGTCTCATTCCATCCAATATAATGAATATATTGTCTTATTTCGAACCTTGTATTCATGCTCGTAATCAAAACTACACATTGCAACTTTTGCGTGCCGCGCCAAGTTTTCCGACAGATTCGAAAACTTATACACGAGCCAAGTTGCAACAAAGTGCTGCTCGTCTGGTCCCTTCACGTTCGAGCTTTGCATGAATTCATGTTGGGCAATGTTCGTACAGGCAAAGCTCGAAGCGAAGTGCGTACGTGAAGGGCTGCCTTAAGAGATTAAATGTGGAAAATTTTTTGTCGACCTAAAAATACACTCTTCGTACTAATTTTTTTTTAACTTTCTCTATCATGTCCCCACCCACCCACGCACACACACCCTTTATCGTTTTTTTGCGCACAAGACACAAAACAAACCTGGTCGGGCGGACCTCTACAAACCTGGATCTACGAACACAAGAATGTAAACAAACACAGTTGTGACGTCGCACCAATGGCAGGGCGTTTGCAGCTGACGTCATATTTAAAGGGATTTCCAGTAATTGTTTTTACTATTTGTTTAAAAACAAATGATTTTTTTCAAAATTTAGTATTCGCCTCATGTATGGCGTATATACCTAGTACTTGCCACCTGTGCAAATTGTTTGCTAATAACGAAACCTTGCAAGTAGCCCATTCCGCGCTTTGTTTTTCTATCATTGAATAAACCGTCTAAGCTCAACGATCTAAATAATTCAATGTAATTGGGATGTCAATAAACTTTGCGAGTGGAGGTAAAATCCCGTAACCATGACTACTTACCTGCCTTTTGTGCGAGAAGTTAACAAAAAGTGGCGACTGATCATTTGCGCTTGGAAATTTTCATTGTGTGATTACTTATTTCCACTCATTCATTCAAAGTTTGGTTAATATAATTAGTGTGTCCAATTATATTTAATCTAATAAAATTCAATAACAATAACCGCTTTAGTTTATTGCATTACGCACCTCCTGTCAAGTGGAACGGTTCTTTCCCATTAGAACGTTATTATCATCTATGTAGGTAATTTGTGGCGTAGTGGGTTTTCTTTTTCTTCTACATCGCCGCGCAAAAAATTGAGACCCAAAAAACCACTTGTGGTTTGCATAACAAAGACCCTTATTATCAAGAGAGTAAAATAAGTTATAATTTTAGTAATTTTCTATAAACCAAGTCGTGTCGTTGGAAACGTTGATTTAAAAAAACGAGCCATTGCACTCGCGCAAGTGGCTAAGGATATTTCCATCATGCGAAAGTGCGAGTATAAAGTCAGGTAATTAATTTTTTCTTTAATGCCTGAATTAAATGTGCTAATAGTTTTTTAGATAGAACACAATAAAAAAGGAGTTTTGTTTATAAAAAAGCTAAATATCTTAATAATGATACAAAAAGGCCTTCAAAAATGTTTACGTTATTTTGTATTGGTAAGCGCATAGGTACTTCATATAACTTTACCCTTTGCATATTTTCTAGGGGAATTTGTCGAAGAAAAAAAAATCCGCTTATCTGATGGTTTCCTCAGTCTGTCGGTCTGTTCCTTGTCTAACTTGAGAACAAAAGAGACAACGATGTCAACCATTCGTCAATCGATTTCTACGAGTTCAAGGATCAGTCCTATTGAATATGAGCCAGGTTAAAAGTCTGGTCTGTTTGGAATACAATAACTTTAGAATGGAAAAAATTGTTTATTCTGGCAATGGCAATGGCATGGATATTGGATTAACAAAAATATTTCAGTGTATTTAAAAATTAAACAGCGATCGGCTGCAATTATTACACTGGGTTTAGGTGGGTTTTAAATTGGTTACTACGGCTAACAGAAAGGTCAAATGGTCCCTTAAATTCCGGTTCTGTGAGCAGACCTAAACTGAACTGCGCCTATTATATTATAATAAAGACATTGTCATTATTCTGTCAGTGGGGCCAATGAGCCTCCAACTTGGTTCTGTGAACCAGTGTGTGCATTTCAACCCCTAATACCAGTCCGCATTCTCGTAGCCAATGGATCCTGAGTACTGTTATATACGCATTCGCTGGTTAGACCGAAATTAAAAGGTCAAAATGGCATATAAAACGAATATATTATTTTTATTATTTAAATCCGGCCCAAAAGATGGACAGTTGATTAAATTCGTTGCGGTTATTGTAAAATGTTTGTGTGGCTTGTAAATGAAAAGAGAGACTCTTACGATGTGTTTAATTTACCTTGTTTCTGTGCTACTTCAAATAAAAGAACCGACAGACGACTACCTCTAAAATAATAACATCAAATACCACAAGACACGGCGTAAAATCTAAAGCCCTAACACCATCATCTAGGTCCTAGGAAATCTTGGTCTGGGAGAAGGTGAGTGATATAAATAAACAAGTGTAATTATCCATGTATCACTACAGTATAGGTGTACCTACGATTTACTATTGACATTTTTCGCACTGCACCTCTCACCCTTCATCGGCAGGAACATCCGCGCGAGTGATAAAAATACCTGGCATTCATGACAGTGAATAGTAAGTACATAATTATCAGCTGTCATGAATGACAGGTATTTCACATAATTACCACCCATTTTTCGTGGAGCCCGATTCAAACAATTAAATCGAAAATTCAACGAGGAACTGGTATCCGTTTTTTCCCTACGTCAGTGTACAACTAACTACTAATATGAATTTATTACACTGATTTATTTATTTATTTATTTATTTATTTATTTATTTATTTATTTATTTATTTATTTATTTATTTATTTATTTATTTATTTATTTAATTATTTATTTATTTATTTATTTATTTATTTATTTATTTATTTATTTATTTATTTATTTATTTATTTATTTATTTATTTATTATCCCTCTCTTGTTCTATTCAATTACAGAGTGGCCCCCATAATGCTTTTTAAAGGTGCCTCTGCAGAAGGTCTTAAGTTGTTCTATAGTACTCCGGTATTTACCTTACGAATTTGGAAAACTGCAGAAAAACTGCAGGTATTTAGTGATTGAACTACAACAGTTAATTGTTAGTTATCACTTACTTGTGCTCAAATTTATTACACGTAAATTTGTAACACGAGCGCGGAATCGATTTTGAGACTATTCAATATAGCAAAGAAAAACTAGAACATTATTGAATAAACACATCAATCATCATATTTCCCGAAAAGAATACATAACATCCGTCTTTATTCCTTATCATCGGTGACCTTTATCGACTTGAAGGCGACGTGATGTCGCCCCGATCTCGCTTTATAATATTGGCTACAGTATATTTACCACGCTTCAGCATTTTTCCAGCGATGAAACATTTAATTTTATCATAGAAACGCTTTGCATTAGTCATAGTATCGTTAAGTTGACCTGAAACACAACCTTTACTAAGGAAACTCATGTACACTAATGAATCAACTGTTAGACATGCGCACATCCGCAAATCTGAGATTTACCAACACAAACTAGAAAATCTTAGGATTAACCGTTACGACGTGGCAGAAGTCCGAAATTATACTGATGGTACATTTTTTCCTAGTTTTACTAGACGTAGTTGGTAAATCCTAGGTTTAACACGTTTACCGAAATTTGGCGTTTTATAGTAACGTATCAACTAATGCAATGAGATGAGGTTATCACAAAGAGCTTAAGTATGATTAATAAAAAAAAATGTTATTAAACACTTACCGACATGCAACTACTGACGTAAGGAGTTAAACAATTAGGTTTTATGCGATATTTGTCGGTTAAATTTTTCTAAAGCACGTCCTATCTAATCCACGAAAAAAAGTCGATTGAACCCTTATGGCACGTTTCAAGATCAATTTCTAAACATACTGACGCTCAATCTTGAATTAATCAACTGTTTCATTAATTTACTATGGTTACATAACCTCCACCTCTAAAGATCAATTCTTTGAGTACCTACGCTCATAATTGGTCCACAATAATATTCAGTGAATTATAGTTACCAAATATCGTGTTGGAGTAGGAATTTGGGATGAGAAAATCGAAATATACCCAAAAAGTCATTTACACTTTTGAGGTATTTCATTTCCATAGCGTTCTAGATCGTGAGAGGTATTATTATTATATTACTCCATTACCTCTTATTGAAATCGGAGGGGAACTGGTTTCATCCTTCAGGCCCTTCAGGGTATCATTGTATTTATAAACGAACCTTTATAAATACAATGGGATAGTATCGTAATGGAAGGTCTAAATGAAAGGAATTAAGTTCTACTACTCACAGCCCCTCCATCAAAGCCTTGTCGTGATCTGTTATAATTCTTCATATCTCTGGCCGGGTGTCGGAGGAGGGTACTCATAAAGAGCGGCTGAAACGTCTAGAAGAAACATATCCACTGGTAATGTCAATAATTTCATTGCGAAGATCTCAAAAATGGTGTGATTTTTCTCTTTTATTCTACACTTCCGTAGTCTATTCGTGAATGTTCTTGTGTAGAAAGTGTTAGTTATAAGTTACTCTCTCCGTTACAGTTTCTGCGCCATGCGAATTTGTACTTAACGAAATTTATTTTATACCTACGTAGAAAGATTTAAAATTAATTAGAAATTGGGTGATGACCTCTTTTCTATCAGTTTTATAACTTCTTTTTTCTTGATCACAATAAGTTTTAATGTCCGTTTGCTTACTAGCGGTTTGATTTTAAAAGCGCTCCTACTCGAAAATGTCCCTTCGCGTATATTTTACCAGTCGTAAATAAAAAGGCCTTGCTACGAATCAGGCTGCTAAAAACGAGGCTAAAAAGTTGTTTCTCGTCCCGTAATTTACTATAGTTCGTCTATTCGCGCATATACATATAAAATTTCAGGTGACCCGCAATTTGTCACAAACCCTAATTAGGGTCTCCACGACGCGACGCACACGAATACGAAAAGCTTTTGTATTTACGCGAAATAAACCAAGAATAATAATTATAGCGATCACGCTCGTAACTTTCCTGTTACAGCGTACCTTATGTAGTACGTAACCACTCGCGAATATCAGCTTAGAACAGTTTCATTCAGTGGAGTATTCAAAAAAGTTCTTATAAATTGGTTCATATTTGGTGGTTTTCTTGATAGTTCTTTTCCCATCATAAAATAAACGAGCTTGTTGGGTACACTCTTGGCTTCCAACTTTCGAAAGCGTTTGATGGTTTCTGGAAAGCTTAGCATATGATACAAACCTACCTAAATGATCAAATGTTAAACTCTTAATGAAAATCTAGACTAACCTAATTCTACAGCATACGCATGCTCTTACGCAATGTTTGCGATCATATTTTATATAAATAAAATACAAGAGAGTTCAAGTCAAAGTAAACAACTTGGCTTACGTGCCATCCTGCCACAATCATAATTATACTAGTACCTACCTACCTACGTCTAGGTAAAATCAAATTTTGCATAAATTTCCCTAATTTTATTTAGCCTTTCTTTACGTTGTAGTGACAATAAAGATGAGCGATATATGCTAATTAATAGGGCAATTAATTAAGTTGATCGTGTATACCTAATCCCGAATTCTAACATTTCAAAAGCGCAATATAAAAAAAATCGACTGTAACATATTCATAGTTTTAAATGTTCAATGACGTTTCCAGTTCGTTAAACACAAACCATAACATTTTCGAACCTTGACCAACAGCAACATAAAGAAGATTCTAATTTTTATATGCCATTAGGGTAATTACGCTATTGTTGATAGAACTATTTATCATAGTGGTTTGCACTATTCATTAAAATAGGGTGCTTTGTTGTTTCCTTGATTCTGCGTGACGTTCTGATATTTTGAAGAAATTCTTTGATTATGTATAATTAATTAGCGGAGAGATGTTATATAACATAGTCATCTAGCGGAATGAGGTATTATTTAAATAATTAAAGGTTAGGCATATTTCCACAAAATTCAAATTATGCCCTTGCATTTTTGAGAAACAAATTGCGTACGATTACTTTTGTACTGTTTCTATACTCATTCTGCAGGTGAGAGGTTAAAACAAGTAATAAGTATCTGTAATCTTGCCAGACTCATTTTTTACCTAGTTTTTTTTATTGACATATTTCAAATACACCTAATGAAGCATTTCCCTTCAATCGGCAAAAGTAATTGCATACATGGGCAGACGGAGAGGCGGGAGGAAAAACATTTTTTCTGGAGTATGGTATCGTATCGTATGGGTGGTCCTCCCTAGGTACAGACTAAACGGCAGTCGTGGTTTGAGTGCCGGGTTCGCCAGAGTTACATGGTGCATCCCATCCCGGCGATGTACATCCCGGCAACGTACACCCCGGCACCGCTTTCGCGGTGACAACTCATCCCGACGCCCATTACTATCCCGGAATTGGTCATCCCGGCGATTTATACCCGGCGACGACCTATCCCGGCGCCTATTACTTTCTCGACAATGCACACCTAATGACGTTTGCTCAACCCCATTTTCCTTTTGTGTTTTTTTTTGATAATGATATACTGTAGAAGCGGTTGTCAAATTAGTGGTTGTTATGGTTGAAATATGCAAGGAAGCTCAAAGAAGCCCTCTTGTTTACACAATTGCCAACAGTGCAAAGGACATACTTTTTGAAAATTGCTTTTTACCGTTTACATACGCAGGTTGAGACCAGAAGACTTTACCTAACTATAAATGGCATAATTTCAATTTGATACTGTAGTTCCTATTCAGATTGTATTATTCTAGAAAGGAAAAAGCGCCCTCTATACAATAACAAATAAGAAAACTTAATTCCGGTGAATTGTTTCAAGATAATAAACATGAATTTATTTCATATGTTTACCTCGTCTTAAATGTTTTCCATCTCCCCAATCGCAGAGTTCAAATTACTGGGATGACCGTGGCCGAGATTTACATGCCCTCCTTTACACTAAAGGAACATTTTACCCATATTTTGGATAAATACACTTTCAGTAATTCAGTAATTCAGTAATGTTTATTGTTCAACAGATTAGTAATCCATAAATGAACAATTATAGAAGTAAATATAGAGGCGTATACATACATTATTATTAAATAATTATAAAAAAAGAAGTAAAATAAAAAAAAAAGATAAATGGAATATAATTGTTACAAATTAGTAAGAAAAGTAAACAAACAATAACAGAAAAGGGTATGTGTATATAATGGTACACGTAATGTTGCAAAGTAGAAAGCAATTCTATAAATGAAGGCAAAATAATAATTACAAAACTCTGTTAATTAAAAATAGAACTTAAAAACTTCCAGTAAATAGAATTCGAAGATATAAATAGTAGGAGGTACAGATAGACGGCAATGGGGATCTTTTATTGTAAAATACCCACTACCGTCGAGTTCGAAGTTTAATAGAAAAATAACCCTTGGGTCAATTTTATTCGACCGGGTATCAAAAATTAAAATTTAATTCTACGTCATTTAGGTCTAACGGTATTTTCATTATTTCAGTACTAGAGAACGCTTCAAAGTGACCAATTTTTGAGGTTTG